AGTAAAGCGGTATCAAGCATACCAGCAGAAGATTAAAAATATTCAGGAGCCCGCTTGGGGAGGGGGCAGCCCCGGCCTCGCTGGGAAAGGGAAGCGGGGGGGGGAGGAAGAGGCTGGCCCCCCTCTCTCGTGACCGAGGGGGAGCCCTGGGGAGCCCCGTCTTCCCTTTCTTAAGGTGCCCTCGGATGGCTCCCCTCTTCTGCCCGCCTTTTGGGGTGGGGGAGCCCCCTTCCTTTGGGAAGAGCACAAAAGGCCGGGGAGATGCAGGGCATGTCGGGGGGAGGGGAATGGCAGCTCTCGCCTCTTCCTCCCCCATCCTTTTTTTTTGGGGGGGGGGAGAGGCATGGAGCAGGAGGAGGTGGAGGTACGCGGGAGCGCACCCAAGCAGGCGGGCTGCGGAGACGAGTCTGGCGCCGGGCGAGCGGGCTTTGCCGGGAGACGGGCTCCCGGAGGCGATCCGGGGCTCCTCGGTGGATCCCTGCCAGGTGGCAACAGAGAGGCGCCCCCGGGGCACCTGCTCCGTCTCCCGGGCCCTCCTCTGCGGGGCCTCGGGTGCCCTCCCCCGGGGGAGGGACAAGCTCTCCCTTCTCTGCCCCCCATCGCTCCCCTCTTTCCGCTGCCTACCTGGTTAAGAGCCCTGAGAGAATATAAGTCGGGGCGCCATGTTGTCCTTCTTAATTTAAATCGCTTCTTTTCCAGCATCGCTTCCCGTCTTGCTCTTTGAGGGGGTTGGTGGGTTTGCATTGCTGGGTTTGGGGTTGTGGCGGGCGGTGAAGACTTTCGGGGTGAACCCTTGAAGGAGAGCAGCCCAGGACGGAGAGGTGGGGTGTCTGTGTGTGTGTGGGAATGTTAAGTACTGAAGATGACCCGAGTTTGGAGGATGGATTTAGGGGCCCGGCCCATGAGGAAAGAGGGCAACTTGTTTTGGAGCCCCTTGTGTGCGTGGGCACACGCAGCTCAGATGGGCGAAGAAGCCACCGGCCCTTTCACAAGACTGTTCTTTGCTTTGCACAGTGGGTGAAAACTTTTACAGGCGAACCTCCTTGTTTGTGGCCAGAGTTATTCCTTCCTCGCTGGGAGAGATGCTGAAAGGGGAGATATTTCTGCCCAGACTTGGTCTTCACCCCCTAACCACACGTGCCAGTCACCAGGTTGCTCCCTGGCTCTGTGGTCACTGACTACAGGCCGCCTTCAGGTCCCAGACCAGGGAATTTTAAAAAGGTTCCCAGGGTCTGGGGTACCAAACAGCCTTTGCACCGGGAAAGGCAGTGAGTTGTGCCCAACAGTCAGGCGAGATTCCTGGGGAGTGGACAAAGTTAGAACTTTTCGGTGGGAGCCGGTGATCCTCTGTGGCTTATCCAGGGCAAGAATGATGAGGGTGGAGAGGGAAGGAAGCAGGGCGTGGAGTGCCAAGCTGTGTCACCAGGCTTATCCAGGGTGGGAGTGCTGATCGGCAGAGCCCCTTCCTGAGACCACCCCGTGCAAGACGATTGGGGGGCGAAGAAACAACCCTGCAGGAAGGTCTCCCGCACCAGCCCCATGGAAAGGAAGGGAACCCCTGCGCTCACCTTGCGCTCTCCTTTGCACAGGCAGAGTTTCCTGCCAGGTTAGGCCATCCACCAAGGGCCTGGATGGGCTTGGACCGCCTGTGATTCACAGAGAGAGCAAATAGGTTTGCACCATTTCAAGGCATGCCTTTAAAAAAAAAATCCGCCGTTTTCATTTCGAGTCTTAAATGGGCATGAAGGAATTAAACTGCACGAGTGAATAACAGCATTAGTTTCAATTAATTTTTTTTTATCCTGGCAACAATAAACTTTAGAAACAAAAGCGTTTTTACATCCTTAATTAGCCTTGCCTCCCATCTGTGGGATTTTAAGTGCCTGTGTGCTTTGATTTAAACTTTGTCCCCTTCTTGGGAGTCTCTGGCTCTTCCGCCTTTATCATCTTTTGTTGTTTAATCCTGAGCATTCTCCTCTTCTGCTGCCTCCCTTTGTCCTTACCTGCTTTGCCTCTTAGTCTCTCAGGTTGATTTCTGCCGGGTTTCTCTTCCATCCCTCCCCTCAGCCACAACAAACAACACACACACACACACACACCAAAAAAAACCCCTTCATCAGCAGTGTGGGTTAGAATGGCCTCCAGCTGTGTGCAGAGGGGGGGGAGTGCTCCATCCACCCCAAACTTCGTTGCCACTTTTGAAGTCTTTGTTTCTCTTCCCCCCCCTTTTTTTTTTTAGTGGGATTTCAATTTGTGTGTATTAAATGAAGAATATTCCTGTAGGCTTCAGAGAAAGAGAGAGAAAGAAGGGAGAGACAACACCCTGGAAATTTCTGCAGTCTTTCAGCATTTCTCCCCCCAGGGCCATTGCCCCAGGCGGGGAGCTGAATGGAACTCTTACAACTGCCTTCTGTTTACCTTTTATGGTTAAAATAACAGCTTTGGAAAGAAGCAGCTTCATGGAGAAATGATTCCGTGAACTCATCTCAGACTGCAATAGCCTAGCTAGTTTAATCACCCCTAGAGAGCTGAACAACTGTGAACTCAATGGGACACAAAGCCATTTTGTGCGTAAATGAGCGTGCCATGGCTGCTTATTTCACTTTCCATGGGCAAATTGTTTTTACAGGCAGCACTTAGGCAGGAAGAGAGGAGCTGCCGTTTGGAAGATCCCCAGCGAGGGAAGAGAGGAACAGAAAGAGCAGCTCTCCCTGTACAGATGATAAGGCGACTGGGCCGATTCAGAGGGGGCCACCCACTCTGGAAGCCCTTCTTCATCCGCCTGAATGGGAGCAAAGGTCACCTGTTCTTTCTAGGGAGGCTGATGCAGGAGCGCTTCCCAGTGGATCAGGCCCTCCACCTTCATCAGACACAGTTAGCATGCCTTTCTCTAGGCGAGCCATAATTGAAGACGGCTGGAACTGATGCCAGTGTATGGTATCTTCTAGAAAGAGCATCACCACAAGGAACCCCAAAATAGGTAGATTGGGCTCATTTCAGAAGGCTGTAAATCGATTTTAAATTAGGTTCTTTCAGTGTATTGCTTACGGAGACAGAAAATATAGTCCCACGTTGGTTCTGAGAAATTCTCACTGAGAAAACATCATTTTTTTTAGTGAATGCTAGTAACGTGGTCATGGCATGTTTACTGTTCCATTCATAATATTTGTCTTTGGCAGAACAATAAATCTGAGAGGTGGAGTCCGTGGTCATGTCTTTCTGATGCTCTTTTCATTCAGATCTTGATCCCATTCAGTGTGGACTCACATCTGTTCTCTTTTGTGGGTTACAGATTTCTTCCGCTGTTGTTTTCTGCATCTTTTAAATGAGAGGCAGGGTGACTCATAAGGGAATTGACTCCATTCTCCCTTTTTAAGGAGAATGGCGGGATAGAAATATTTTAAATAAATGAATGAATACATTGTTAACTTACGGAATTACATCTTGGATACAATGTTAACCTGGGCAGCCCTGTAAAATTCTTTAACAGCAAGTCCCACTGGAAACAGGTAGAGAAAGCTTTTACAGTAAGTAAACACTCTCATAACTGGGCTTTCCAGATGTGCTCCTAACAACACTTATCCCAGAAGTAAAGTCCTCTCAGAGAGGGAGACTTGCTTTCTAGGAAACATGTCTGAGAGGAGCAGTGGGGTTGGGTGGGTTTTGTTTTGTTTTGTTTGCAGAAACAGGGTTTTGCTGATGCGTAACAATTAGCCAAGATGCCAAGGCTCTGATTAATTAGAATCTTGTTTCCCATTTCCAAAATCATTGCTTGTCCCTTGTGCTAAGATTTCGTTCTGGCAAGACAAGAAGACATGAAGATTCTCCTTCATTGGTAAAATGTAGGCAATAATAAGGACTTTAAAGTTAATTCTTTGTTTTAGAGATAACAGGCTAGCTGAGGGGGTCAGAACAAAGGCTGGCAGAGGTGACCTCAAGCTTCCAGGCAGACATTCTCGTGTGCAAGCCAAGAATCCAGTACAAATAAGAGCTTAGGGTGTTTGGTGGTGGGAGAATACTGGGAGGTTGTGTTTCTGTGTGCACACACAACTGCAGGAATAAGACGTCCTCAGATAGAGGAATAAATCCTGGCAGAGTCTGGTTGTTTGTATTTCTCATTGCTTTGTAAAAAGCAAGTCTTTTCATTCCTGGTGCACTTGCTTGAGACAGTTCTCGGCAAAAGCCACAGTGGAAGGGGGGAAAAAAGAGCAAAGCAGAGCTTTTAAAGAATTCAGCCGTTCTCCTTGAAGGTGGTGCTATTGTCAAAATGTTGGCGATAATTTCCGGCTAACTGGCTCAACTTCTGCGACAGCGCTGGTTCTGTGGTTGTTGGTCTCTGGATCCTTTGACGAGTTGGTGTTGTTTCTGCTTGCTAAGAAAGCAAATGATGTGGATCCGTAATGGGGTGATGTATTTTCAAAGACAGGGTGCCAGAAGCGTTGGCTGTGCACCTTATTCTGGAATCTAAAAATTAGCCGTGTTTTTCGGTTCACTTCCCTGTTTTTCAAAAAAGGGGCTCTCCGGGGAAATCTTCTCGGTTCTGTGTTTGGAAATGGTTTTGCTGAGATTAGGAAGATGTTTCAAAAGGAGAGCTTGGGCATGCTGAGAAACCGAGGTCCAGCTATTTTGTAAGGCGTGAGATTTTTGCTGTGAAATATCACACTCTGGAAGTGTCCATGAGAAGTGAGCAGAAGATAGAGGCTGTATCTTATGGCTGTAAACCAAAATAGCATGAAAACTAAATTGTGCTCATATATGTTCTATATCTATAATTTCAGGCTTATTCTGTTTATTTCTTGGCTACCTGTGTATGTGTGGCAGGGTTGTCTTGTATAGATTAAAGCCAAGAGAAGCGCTGGCATTTTTTTCAGACTAAAAGCTGAGCATCGTTGGTCTTTTAAAACATTTGGGTATGGCAAAGTGCTTTTGTTTTGCATTTCTCAAAGATCTATAGGCTTTTAGTAGGAATTGGAACAATGGAGGTCACATTTCTTTCGCTTTCTGAAAAGTGTTGCAGATAAGCAGAGTTGTGGTGTGGTGTATGCATGTTTCTGTTGGACATGGGGCATGACTACAGAAGGGTTGGAAATTATGTCCGAAGGATTAAAAATAGTATATTTTTTGGAAATATTCATTTGTGGCTGGTCTTCTGTAATTTCCCCCCAGTTAGATAGCGCATTCTGTAGATACAGAAGATAGATCCGCTTTGTTGTATAGGTGGTGATTTCAAAAGCAACAAAAAAAAACCCTCCAAGTTTGATGTGAATTTTACTACATGTCTAAATGAAATGCCCGAGGAGCTGAGGAAGTCACTAATTTAGAGGTGTCTCGTTACTGAGACAAACTTGCAAAAAAAAAAAAAAAACCCTGAATCTCAATTCACAAATTGGTTATCCGTTTGTCAGGGGATATTTCACATCTAACACATAAGACGGCGACCTTTAATTAGAATTTTGCAGTTTGTTTTATGCCCCTGGAGGCTGACACCTTGAAAAAGACTTTTTTTCTCTCTCTCCCTCTCTCCCTTGATTTCTTATTGCTAATAAGCATCTTTCCCTTTGCCGCTGGTCCTCCGAAGAGCATGATGCAAATACACTTAATTAGGGAGGTGGCAATAATTTGTTAGCTGAATATGTGATCAGGCAGATGCAAAAACGATCTTATTAGATCTGTGATCACATTGGAATCAAGGTGGTTCCACCGCTGCATGTAAGAGGAAGCTGTTCTTTTTTTTTCTCTCGGGCTTATAGGAGGAAGGAAGAGCGATGTCCCGGCTGTCTTTGACACGCTCCCCAGTTTCTCCTTTGGCGGCGCAAGGAATTCCTCTCCCGGCTCAGCTCACCAAAGCCAACGCCCCCGTCCACATTGATGTGGGAGGACACATGTACACCAGCAGCCTGGCCACTTTGACCAAGTACCCGGATTCCAGGTAAGGTAGCTGCTCGTTTCTTCACCTGACTTTCGGTTGCCTTCTCCGACTGCCTGTTTCGGTCACGGTAGGTCAGCTGTAAGTTCTATGGAGACAGAAATGATAAGCTATAGGTGTTATTTCCAGAGAAATTGTGTCTGTGTGTATGTGCAAGAGAGAGAGAGATGGATATGTATGTATTTATTCTGTTATATAATGCTGCCTTCGGAGCACCTGTTGAAGTGCATCAGCCCCTCTGTGTTACAAGGAAGATGCCCATTTAAAGGTGTTCTCAACCAGTGTGTGTTACACACATACTTGTCAGTTGCTTCACCTTTACTAAAGCTGCCATTTATGGGAATCATAATTTACTTTTGTTCCTGGCCCAATCTCACTTCCTTCCATAAAACTGATCCACTGGCCAAGTTTCCTAAGTCCTGTCCCAGAGAACCAGGTAGGCTGCTGAAACCCATTTGAAGCATGTGTGCGTTCAAAGTTCATAGGACAGACGCATGAGTCACTGAGCTGTGGATCTGATGCTCCCTCTGCATGCTCAGCCCTGGGTCCCTCCTGTCCTCCATGTGGGTCCACCTCTGGCATTGGTCCGGAAGAGGTTTTAGGAAAGTGCATGGATTTAGGGTTTGTCAGGGAAAGGATTTATTTATTTATTTATTTTTAGCTTTTAAAGAGGAAAGTTCTTCACTTGCAGGAGGCACGAGATGATCAGTAGCATAGGTACAATGCAAATGAGAACGCGTGGGTCAATCCCTTGTTACTCGCAAAGATTCGTTTAGACTTGTGTCTACACCGCTAGAGTTTTGAAGCAGGACTGGCTTTGGCCCGATGCAAATGAGAACGCGTGGGTCAATCCCATGTTACTCACCACTAGAGTTTTGAAGCAGGACTGGCTTTGGCTTACTTGTTCCGAAAGAGACGTTGCCACCTGTGTATTTGATCATTCCTATTTAATGTTTGTTAACCTGTCACATAGCTGAATTTTTCAGTGAGTTAGATCTCTGGCTACGGAGTCAGAGGTTGGGGGTTCGATTCCCCCACTGGGCCTCCTGGGAGAAAGAGCCAACCTGTGTAACCTTGGGCCAGCTGCACAGTTCCACATCTGAGTGTTTTGTACCTGGAAAATGCAGAAGAGAGGCTTCATAAGTCACAATTGACTTGAGGGCATGCAATTATTATTACATGGGAATCTGGACTTATGATTGTTAAATGTAGTCCATTCCTGAAGGCCTCATGGCCCAGGTCGCCAAGCCACTCAGCACTTCAGAATGGGCAAAGAACTCCGTCCATTCCGGCTTAAGTTCTGCAGGTTTATCAAAACACCCAGCAAAGCAAGGTTCAGAAATTAAGTTCCCTCCAAGATAACAAAGAAACCGATAAAAAGCTAATTGAACTTACCAGAGTAGCTTTCCAGGAGGGAGAAGGGATGAGCCCCCCTCCCCCCGAGGTTTCCTGGACTTGTTTCGTCCGGGCTCATAAATGGGGTCACGGAGACTAAAGGGAGTTTTTTTGCCATAGGTGAAGGTGTTTCTGCGGGGGCCGGACACTTCCCAGAGAACCAGATGCAGCCAACGAGTAGGCTTTGAGGACCTGTTCTTATGCCCCCCAGCTGGTTTCTTCAGGCACCTTGTGAAGATAAGACTGAGTCACGGCAGAAATGACGGGAACGCGTCAGACTAGAGTTTGCAGAAGGGCTGGTTTTTGGTGTTGCTGCTTGGGCATGTTCTTCGTTTAGAGATGCTTCCCCACAAAGAGGGCGGCAGTTGGTTCTGTCACAACATCGTGATGGTTCAGGGCCTCCGATTTGGACAGGGGACTGCGTGGCAAAACCGGGTTGTTCCCTGTTTCCCGTGTGGTGCAGAGTCAGCAGAACCTTGGTGGAGGAGAAGATGCTCTGCGCATGCCCTTGTGAAAGGAAAAGGTTTTTGTGGTCTTGAGTAAATCCCACCTGTTTGTTGTGGGTCATGAGAGAGAGAGAACTTCCCCTGGGGATTTTCCTGGTAGGTCTGTTGACCTGACCTCTCATTTGCCCTCAGTTGTTAGAGACTGGATGTTTAATGAGCAAGTGGAGTGGAGTGGATAGTGTGTCGGTCTATGGCTCAGGCGATCTGGGTTCACATCCCTACTCAGCCCTGGAAACTGGGGGTGGCGCTATGAGAACCATTCCTCGAATATCTCACTGCTCTTGAAAACCCTATTAGAGCTGCATAAGTTGCATTGGGCTTACTGGTACATAACACACATACATCACTTTTCAAAAGTATTTAGCTGTGGTGCATTTAAATGAGGTGAACGTGGAATTGGTCATCAAGGCACATCTCCCAAATTGCTAGCTAGGATGGGCTGGGATTCCTTGTGGAGCAGACATGCACAAACTTGCGTTTTCTGATGCATAACGGTGACATCCTGCAGTGCTAAAGTATGGCGTTTGCTTGTAAGAAACCTGTGTCTTTGTCCACTAGCTCTAAGCATCGTGGCTGCTGCTGATTGACCGTCAGGTGTCACATAGGGATGTCCTTTATGCAGGTACAGCTGTGTCCTTGGGTCTGGGAAGCCTGATGAGGCTGAAACACCCCGAGAGGTCCCCGTAGGCATCTAACAGTGTATGGACAGTGTTCATCTGTTCTTCGTTTGTGGCAGAAAACGATGGGGAGAGACATCCATGTTTCCTGCCGATCATGCAAAAGAGGCAGCTGCTCTGAACTATTAAGCCGGTTCTAGGGATTCTTCCTGTCTCTCAGGCTTGCCTTCCTTGCACGGGCATGGCTCAGTCTGGTGTGCATCCCTGGGCTTCTTTGGGCGGAACAAATGAAAGAAGCAGAAGCAGCTTTTGCTGTTCCAGTATATGGAGGGAATCTTTTTCCCTCCGAATCTCCTGCTGGAAACCCTGTCTTAAGACAGTTACGGGACCCGTTTTGATTTTCCCAAAGTTGAGATTTCGGCACAGATTATACCAACAAGTGCGTAAATCCTGAGATATATCATAAGGCTTAATTCCATTCCAGGGACAGGTCAAGGGCTTTGGAAATCAGAAAGAAGGAATCATGGCTTTAAATATTTACCACTGGAGAGGATGAAATAAACACTCTTTATTCTTTCATGAGATTGCAGGTCTGAATGCTTTAAAGTTTACAGCAAAGATAGTCAGGGCTGGACGAGAAAGACACCTTGACCAATATCCTGCAAGACTGGTCATCCTCTAAACCAGTGGTTCCCAACTTTGGGTAATCCAGATATTCTTGGACTACAACTCCCAGAAGCCTTCACCACTCCCTGTGCTGGCCAGGATTTCTGGGAGTTGTAGTCCAAGAACATCTGGGGACCCAGGGTTAGGAACCACTGCCCTAAAGTCTGCAGCTCAGTGTGAGCATCCTGAGTGTGGTCTAGGACCCACACTCAGCTCACAAGAAGCGTGTGTGGGGGAGCCCAGCAATCCTGCCTTCTAGCTCTGTGTTAGTTAGAGAATGTGGCAAGCAGTCTGAAGGTGCTCAGTTCAAACTGGGGCTTTTCCTGAGAAGGATCTGCCCGAAACCCCGAAGAGATATGGCAAGGTCATATAGTCAACTTTATGCTTGGCTTTGGGGCAGCCAACTTCCTTGTTTCCCAGAATCCTTTGTGACAAAAAGGCGCCATCCATCAGCCACAAAGCCCCTTTAGAAGGACTCTCCTGGGGATAAGAGGTCCTTAGACCCATCTGTCTCCATGGAAGCAGAGAAAGTGTTGTCCCCACGGGCATTTGTGCCATGGTTCAAACAAGGAAGCAAGCCGGAAGAGTAGCCACTGTAAATATTTAGGGCATTTGCCATGCTGGAGTTGGTATCTAAGAAGAACAGCAAGTGTGAAGTGTGGAAAAACTCCGGCTTGAGAACAAATGAAACCCTGAGTTTAGTTTTAGGGAGGGCTAATTGTCGTAAATCCGATCTCTGTGGAAAGAGTGAGAGACCAACTGCTCTGCAATGTGAAGGAGTTCTTCGCCCGAGGCGGTCAGGAAAGGTCCAGAGAAGGAGTAGTGGCAAGAGACCACCAGGCACAAGAAAGGGAAGCAGCGTGCTCCTCCAGTGCACTGATTACTCCATGCATGGGCCAGGGCCTCAGCATTGCCATTACGCCAGCCAGCTCACCAAGATGGCACAGCATGTGCCCTATGCTCAGATATACTGTGTTGCACATGATTCCTTCAAACATACAAGAGCATTGATCCCAGTCTTTTAATGGAGATGAGTAAAAATATGTTGTTGGATCTCCTGTGCTTTTCCCCTCGTTATTGTTGCTATTGTACTACTAATAATTGTGTGCTGTCAGTTCGATTCTGACTCATTTTCAGGATTTTCCAGGTAGAGAATACCCATTTTCTACCTCTTGGCAAGAATCCTGTTGGTTACACCTATGAGCATAATTTTTCTCGGCTGGGAGCTGCTGCAATGTAGAAATCAATGTTGAAGTCAATGTAGGTGTTTGCTGTTGTGCATCAGTTGTGTTGCAATGTAGCAACAATCCACTGTTAAAATCTATGCCCATGGAGTTATGCCAGCATAGTTTTTCAGTTGGATTACAGCCATTCTGTGAATAACTCTTACAATGACCTGGAAAGGTAGGCCATATGCAGGTGAAGGTGCTGAGTTTGCCATTGTGAGCATCCGAGAACAATTGTGCTCTCTTCAGGTGTGGGTAGATGGCTCAATTATCCCAGCCTGAATCAGTCTAGATTGTGCTAAACGGGGTTGCTTTGAAGTGTGAGATGTCATTTGGGGTGATCCACGTGTATCCACATGCAAGCATCAACCACGCTGCACCTCAAGCAACCCTTTAAAGCATCTTCTAGATCAGGGGTCTCCAAACTTTTCAGTCTGAGGGCCACATCATATATGTTCCACATTTTCAAGGGCTGAAGGAACACACACCTGTACGTGTGCACAGGCTGAAGGGAATGGACCAGAGCCTGTGACATTTGCAGGATCAGATAAAAAGGCAACGTGGGCCAGATGTGGCCCGCGGGCCATAGTTTG